TAACAAGGTGCCAGGATTTAAGGAGGCGCTCAAGTGTTTTTTGTTTTGTTTTTTTCCTAATTATTGCCTGAGGCATCAGAATTTGAGCTCCCAACACCCTAATGTGTGCACAGGACTCTTTTTAACCCATTTTTCATCTTCCAAAATGAAGTCTCTGATTCAAGTTTCAGTATCTCCCCTGTTTTAGTGATGGCATGTTCAAAAAATTTTTTTAACTGTTTATAATGTAAAGAAGATTTGTTTTCATTGTCTTTATGCTTAGAAATGGCTAAAACAGTTTTCTTTAGGCTTTCAAGAAAAATCTCACCTTTGGTCAGAGAACCAACCATAGAAAGTTTCAGGAAGTTATGAATAACTTAAAATGAGGTATGAAATGAATGCTGTTATTTAACCTTAGTTTATAGCTGTCACTGCCAAACTTCCATAACAGGACAGCGAACTAAGCCTACAGTGTAACCAAATGATTAACGAATAATGAGACCAAAATTAACTGCAACTCAGGGAGATACATTTTTAATAAAATCAGTGTAATTCTATTTCTTCATCTCCCAGGGGACAGACATGAGGGGCTAAATCCTACTTTGCCCTCTGTACTCACACAGCTTTTAGGGGTCTAAGTCACTAAACAAGATTCTGCTTTGTTCTGTGTAACAGCCTGAATTCCACTAACATGCCAAAATTCCCCGCTGTGTGGCTAAGCTTACCCTACTGCACATACTTCCACCATGACATCTAAAGGTAAACCATATCAAATCTGTGGTATATTGAATGATGTTAAAATTAGAACATGCTGTTGTACATTAAGGATTAATACCATTTCTTGCCTGCACCGCTCTGACTTACTACTAGAGTACTGGTAAGCAAGGGGGGATGGCTAGCAGGCAGGACAGGACACTTGGGCTCTATTCCTGCTCTGGGTGAGCGGGGCTGGGAGTGGTGCATCCTGGGATGCACACAACTTGCTTGTTTTATCTCCATGGAGCAGACTGAAGTTACCCTAACACAAGCTAGATAGCATAACCCAGAGTTAACCCTGATTTCCTAACTAGTCCTGATTTCCACATGGCTGGGAGGCAGCTACCCCCAGAGCCGGGACAGCTCCCCCAACCCTGTGGGGATTGGAACTGGTCCCTGTACCTCCTGCTGCAGCAGGGATGCAGAACAGGGCAGGAGCAGCCCTGGACTGAACTCCCAATAGGCGTGTGTTCAGATGTGAGCCCAAGCACAGTTTAATGCTCTTGAATATTCTGCAAAGAAAATTCAGGTGCATTAATTGCATATGTAGACATGTCCATGGTGCTTCTTCATGAAGGAAAGGCCTCTTGGAGGACATTACCTAGAATCCCTAACAGGAAGGAGAGTGTGTCTGTATTTGAAGGGAGGCAAAGAACGCCCAGTGGGTTGTTAGTAGGTCTTTCATGCGAGAGGCAAAAATCTTTGTGGGTTATCATCTTTTTATTGGTCCAACTATAGTACCCTTCCTCAGACCTCTGGCAGTACACTGAAGGCCAGCACTGGCCCCTTTTTGCCCACCCCACTCCCAGATGCTGCTTCCCATCCACTCACAGCCCTGCTCCATCCACCTGGCCAAGCATGCCCTGCCTGCCTGCAGTGGTCCCAGCTGGTCTCCATCTGTCCTCTCCATCCAGCACCCCCAATGGTGGGTGCAGGGCAGATGGGCTCAAACCAGATAGTATCAATTGCCCCTCTCTTCCCCCCGCCCCCTCGTAAACAATACATCACTCAAATTCCTAAAGTGGCACTCCAGCCAAAATAATTACCTACCCCTGGGCTAGAGTGTACTCTCAGTTGCACTGATGCACTCTATGGGGCCAGTGTTACCAAGTGTGAATCAGAATAATGACATTACTTACTGCATTACTCCAGATATATGATGCTTTCAGTATTAAATATTTGATAGTTAAAAAAAACATAAACAGGCCTGGGTGTGTAGGACCAGAACTCAAGGCTCGCTTCTTCCCAAGGCAGTGTCTACTGAGTTAGGCCACCTCTTGCTTATTCTCCTTCTGGCCCAATTAATCTTTCCTTGTTGGCTGCCCAGTGGTTCACCTTCAATAGGAGGGAATTGGCAGTACTTTGGGTCTATCCTGACCCATAAGGTGGTAGTTAGGATATACTACTAGGATATAGGAAATGTGGCTTCAAAACACAATGAGGTGGCAGGGTGCTAGAATCCAAGTCTCATGTCTGAGATTAGTGCTCTAGACACTAGATTATTTATGGAGGAGGATTCAAATAATAAGGAAGTCAATGCTGCAGTCCATTATGTAGACATTTTCATATTCAGGTCCTAAGTATAACTAAGGACAGTGTAAGGTCTGGGCAGGGCTTACACTGATCTTCACATGACGATATCATGAAAGCCTCCTTACATGGGAATAACTTGTGTAAGAAAGAGAAAGCTTCAAATTTCAATGCATGGATTTTTATCCAAATTCTTATACTAAAGGGTGGTGAGGAGAAGTGTTTAATTGCTCCTCTTTTAGGCTCCCTACACCCCAAGGAAAAATACATAAAGATAACACTTACTACCACTCTATTACCTGGCTTCACTGGTTGCTGGAGATTTGATAATTGAGGTGGCTACCATTCCTATCACCTGAACATCCTCAATGAGCATTTTACAGCATGGGGGGCCAGTAGCATAACTGAGGGGGAGCAACTGGGGCAGCAGCCACAGACACTGCCTTGGTGGGGAGGGAGAGGGGGAGCAAAAATAGCTGCCACTGCAACAGCGACTGACCACTCTGCTATCACCCAGGCAGTCCAGCACTGCCTCATGGATCACTGCTGCCCTGGTATGCTTCTGTGGTAGGTTATGTTCCTTTGTAGGCTTAGGAGACAGAGGGAGGACCAGAAAAGGCTCCCTGACTCTCTTTGTGCAGCAGCAATTCTGACAAGTCATTTTGTCAGCACTTCCTGTGGGAAGTGGAGCTCCCTCCTGCAGAGCCAGGCTTCTGTTTGCACGTGCAAGAATGCATGCAGTCCTCTAAAATAACCATGCTACGTTATGGAATGCAAACATGTCATGTGCCAGTTACGGACAATTTTCCCTTCAGGGCTGTCAACTTTTTTTTTTGTTTGGAATTTTGCAATCCGTGTTTTCTGAATCCAAAGCTGCATCTGTACAACACAGAGCATTTCTATATTGAAATGCTCCATCTATACTAGTAGAAATATAGCTGCAGTATCTCAGACTAATTATCCTTTCCAAGAAGCTGGCTATATATTAGCCAGGTGGAGCAGTATGCTAGTATGGCTCTACTAATTGCTGTACCTAATCTAGCTTGTTCAGGACTAGCTTCTTTGTGGTGTTCATACATATCCCAAGTTTAGCTTAAGAACAATTATAGCCCGTATCAAGTATGTGAGTAAGCACAAGGGGGAATAAAGTTGACCACAGGCATATGAGAAAGATGTTCTATGTGAGCCACTGTGTTGGTTCTCCAGGGCTACTCTTGAATAGAAATAAGAGTCTTGGCTGTGGGTTGGGGAGAGGTTGAGTATGCTAGTATGGCTCTACTAATTCCTGTTCCCAATCTAGCTTGTTCAGGGCTAGTTTCTTTGTGCTGTTCAAAGTTACTACTTGGTGAGTCAGAAGTTCTCAGCGATTCAAATGGCAGGATGGTAGCAGTCAGGCTCTGAGCACACCAAACCAAATACCTGTGGCTAAACCTCATCTGCGACCAGCACACTGGGAATTTCAATCAAAAGATGGCCTGAAGTTTTGAATGCTGTGCCAGATTGAGGCAGAAATCTAGGAAGCACAAGGGGCTAAGAATAAGGAAGAGAAAAAAAAAGGAAAAGAATGTAATTTTTAGGAAACCCTGAAGACAAATAAAATACATTTTTGCCCTGGGTTTGATATAGCATACAAGCACATTTCTTAAGCATGACCCTGGGAACATATTAGTGCGCATTAAAAGAAAGATGGGGGTTCTAATGAAGCGATGAGTTTTTGTGAGGATTTCATTTACTTCAACTGGATTCAGACAACTGTAATGTACAATCACTGTTTTAATAGAAAACCATGACATGCTGGTGAAACATACCTGCTTCTCCCATTGACCTTTTATAGAACTTGATTTTATTCCTAAATAAGAACCCACAATAGTTTTTTTAAGAGGTTTGCATTTTACCATCATGTAGCAATACTGTTTGCATGCAAAATAGTGATTCTTACAATTGTGAATAGTATATGCCTGAATGCTCTAGAGACCTATTTTTTCTGTGAGAGATTGAACTAGATAACCATAACTCAAGCTAGCAATTTTGGAACGCTGAAATGACTTTCAGGTTGTAAGCTGAGCAGATGAGGAATTGTCTGTTTATTCTAAAGAAATCTGAATCAACAAAACACTGTAGTTTCTGTTGATTTTGGGCAGCGTGTCCTAGATTTGAGGAGCTGAGAGGGGAAAGAAGATAATACTTTATCATTTTACATGCACATGTGTAGATTTTAATGTTCTGTGTTTCCTTGAGAGGAATCCCATGGTGCCAATTAACCTAACTTATTCCAAAACAATTCTCTGTTTGGAAAGAATAATTTTCATTGTGGGTGTTCCCTGAAATTGTATGCCTCATACCCTGTTATTACTGAGATGTGTGTAGTGCAATTGAGAGTGCCAGTTTCTTTTCCATGCACTGTATAGATTATAGCTGTATCCCACACACAGTGCTAGATAATCCTTGTTTTAATTTTGTTGTATGTACAAATCCTTTTTGAACATTTAGCAATTTTAAAAATGTAAAAGGCCGGCTTCCTCTAGTACGTCATTTGTTAAAACCAAATGATTTATTTAGAAGTGATCAAAACCAGTGAATAACATGGCAATTTTCTAATTAACAGAAAACTATTGCTTTACTAAAGCCTAGCAGGCAGATCATCATATTCTGGATAAAGAGGCTGTGAAGAGATACAGTTAGGCATAAAACTGTGGTCTTAAGCAACACAGTTCCAACCACGTTTCCTCCAACAGGTGGAGGTCTAACAGGTCTCAGCAAGTGGAAGATGTGGCCCTCTCTAACGCTACGGACATCCAAAATTGATGGGGAGGTCCTGAATATCTCAAGGTATCCATAAAAGACAAGAGCTGTCCCTCAGCATGCCCAGTTCTTCAAAAAACGTCCCTTATATGCAACTCCTTCAGATGTCTCATTCCCTTGGGAGCACCACATGCAAATTGGGTCACAGTTCCCCCTTTTAAAGGAATTTAAAGATTCAGAACAGAAAAACCTTGAGAATTTCTCCATAATGCCACAGAGCCATTTTCCTCTAGCTCTCCCACCACTCTCTCTCAGAACCTGTGAGGCCCCCTTCTTCACACAGAGGAACTTCAATTGGGTTTGGGAGAGGACCAACTCCCTTCCTCTGACAGATTATTGGCTAAATCATCAGGTTTTCCACTCATTTTATCCCCTCTGCAGTTAAAATGGGAGAGGATGATCTGGCCCTAATTTCATGGTTTATGTATAATCTTATTTTTTTAAACAGTCAGGGCTAATTTTTCCCATTACAGAAAAAAATAAAATAAAAAATAACTCCAAAAGAAAGATGAAACCACTTAGTAGCTGACACTTATTTTTGTTCACTAACTGTCAGTGTCTGCATATATTCTCATATTTCTAGAGTTTTTAAGAAATTATTCCATAAATCTCAATAAACCAATATTCATTCTTAGATTTAATTTAGAGAATGGAATATATGATCTGTGGGATACAGCACTGCAAAATACTTTTGGCCATTTGTTTTTAATTTGCTGTAGATATTTTTAAAAACCTTGATCTATCTCCACTGGCACCGAATCATAATTCCTAAGGTTGAATTGCAAAGATTTTTTTTTGAACTAGCTAACCAACAATCAGTTATAGGCTGAATGCTCTAACTTAGAAATGTAAGAGGAAGTACTTAGCACAAATTATACTTGCTGTTCTAAAAACTTCTGGCCATTAATTTACATGAGCCAGCTTCCTGATCTTTGTGACAACTTCGAATACAACATTCTGAGCTATCACAAGTACCAGAAATTCCAGCAAAGAAATGGGCCGAACTCACATGAGCTTAGGTAAGTGGCAGCTAAATATATCAGGTGGTTTTGCCTTTTTAAATATTATTTTATATCACTTGATATGAGGAAACTGCCACTTACCCCTAATTCTCTGTGGACTATTTCCAGAGTTTTTGTTGATTCTGTAGTCATATATTTATAGTTAGAGATGGTATAGCCATTAGAAGCCAGTAAGTAGTGAGTCCAATTTTTCAAAGCCTAAAAAGAAATTTTAAAAGATAACATTCAAAAGAAAGAACCGTTCTTAGTGGCAATTTTGAAGGGCTACTGTGAAAAAGAGGGAAAGCACCTTTTCTCTTTTGCTCCAGACAGCCAGACATGAACCAATGGCCTGAAGTTGCAGCAAAGTATGTTTAGGTTGCATGTCAGGAAAACTTCTTTACTGTTAGAACAGTGAGGCAGTGAAACAGACTACCTAAGTAAGTTGCAGACAGTACATCAGGGTACTGGAGTAGGAGCAATGACTTGACACAGCAGCAGAGGAAATCTAGGTTGGAGATTAGAAAGAACTTTCTGATTATGTGGGTTGTCAACCATGGGAGCAGGCTACCTAGAGAAATAGTGAAATCTCCACAGTTAGAAATGTTCAGTAGTGGATTAGACGGACACTTGATTGGGATGCTTTAGTCAGGGATGATTCTGCCTTGAGCAGGGGGCCTCAGGAAGCCCCTTCCAGCCCTACTTTCCTATGATCATTGGAGGTGTTCAAGAAGAAGTTGGACAGCCACTGGTCAGGGATGATATAGGAATAACTAGGCCACGTTCCACTATGGGTATTTCCCAGGCTTCCGAGCTCTGCTGGTTGACCCTTCCCCCACTTTCTGCTACATGTGTCAAGGTGTTTTTAAGCCTTCTTCAGAGGCATTGGATGTTGGCTGCACCCAAGGCTGGGGATTTTGACTGGGGTGTACCAATATTCCTGCTAAGACTAAAGCCAGAGATTCCTGGCTGAAAGGTCTTGCCCCTCTGCTCAGGGTCGAGCTGATTGCCATATTTGGGGTAGGAAAGAATTTTACCCCATAGTCAAATTAGTATGGAATGTAGGGGGTTTGCCTTCTTCTGTGGCCCTCTACCTGGGATTTCTTGAGCATATATTAACAGCCTTTTTTATAAAAGCAGAACATTGGCTGCTGTAGTTCCCCTGCTTTACCTGTGTCTTATGCTGTGTCAGGATTGATGGCAGTTTTATGAAGAGTTTAGTTTATGGATTATATGAGATGGTTTGGATAGGGATGATCCTTCCTCTGGCAGGGGATTGAACTACATGACCTCTAGAAATCCATTCCAGCTCTACTTCTTTATGATTTCTATGAATTTTCAAATCCTGTGAACTTTTCAACACAAATATATAGTACCTTAGAATTCCTTTAGCAGCTTTTTAATTTAAATGGCAGATGGTCTGCTTCATTGGGCAAAGGCTTTTAATGTATGAAAAGTAGGTCTAACAAATTTAAACACAATAGTCATCATAGTAACTATGGATTGGATACATCGGATTTTGTCAAAACCTGACATGTCTATTTTGATGTTTTCACATTTACTTTCATTCTGATTTGGAATTAAATCAAATATTTCAAAATCATACAAGAAATTGAATTTTCAAAACATTTCTGTTTTAAAAATGTTTTATTTGGGAAATCTAAAATTAAATTTTGAATTGTATTTGTCGTGCTTATATTCATACATATAGTTAGCTGTTATGTTTTTGCATTTTAATAACATGTCATTACTTGAACTATATTATCATTTTTATATTATTTCATTTTTAAAATAAAGGACAACTATTAAGTTCTGATTGAAACATCTTATATTTTCTTTATCTTATCTTTTTCTCTGTTTCCTTAAACACAAGCAGCAGACCCTTTATCTAAAAAAATGCAGAAATGTTGCAATCATCTACTACATGAGACATATTATGATATTACTAATAAACCTGCATATTGCAAAACTATACTGTGTTAGTTGTCACGGTTCAAACCTGATGAAGAAGGTCTTGCATTTGAAAGCTTGTCTAACTCTATCCTAACTGTATAGTTAGTTCAATAAAAGATAATACCTTTGCCTCCTGCATAATTTCTGGACCATCACAGCCACAACATCACTCTAACACTACCTCTTTCATAGGGGTACTAAATGCGATTTTTCTGGCATTCACAGAATAGACAACCATGTAAAAAAGCCTTGGCTAAGACCAAACTCAAACCAGTTATAGTTGCAATACACTAGTCTTCATATTTTGACTTGATAGGCCCCATAAGCCGGATCTGGCCTGTGGAGGTTCTTCACCCAGCCCACTGGACTATCAAAAGTGAGGGGCGTAGCCAGGGGCCACTGCCTACCTACCTCAATCTAGGGCCCTACCTCATTATGGATATAGTCATCAGTGGTAGGAGGGTGAGAGGGGGCTGTGACAACACAGGCCCATTCACCTTGTGATTATTTGGCCTGCTGCCACTTGCTCTACTGCCACTGTCCCTGCCATCAGTCCTCACATTCCCACTGCTGTCAGTGTGGTCCTGCCATGGCCCCCCATGCCCTGTGCCCTGTGCCATATCCGGCTATAACAAGCTTTATGGTCCCAATCCAGTATGGGGCATGGTATGAGTTTGACATCCCATTCTAGTCCATCTTAACTGAGGTCAGTGGAATCTGGCATATGATTGGTGCCATTTGCAGGATTTAAATGGCTGCCTTTCTTATCAAGGGATGTCTAAGGTAGATATTACTCTATTGATAGCCTTTTGGATTAATGGGGTGTACTTGATCTGTGAAAACAACGAACTTGTCCTCTTGTAGTCTTCATATCCTCTTCTTGGGTGCAAACCTTATAAGCTAGTAAATACTTCCAGCATGGCTAGCATTTCAAATTCTTCCTTTCAGAAAATGCATAGCTTTCTTTTATCATTTGAATGTGCAGTGTGTGATCTGAATATGTATAATAATGTACACATCATAGGATCATTGTTGGAGATGTGACTGTGCAAAGCTGACACTCTTCATCCGGCGTCAGACAGTGTTTAGGTATGCTAATGCATAGACTAAACCTTGAACACTTTAAAGGACTGGTAAAATAAATGATATTTCAGATGATAGGAAAGGCAATGCTGAAAAGTTGGCAGCTTCCATTCTTGCTGTTTCTTCCCCATAACTGCCTCTGAAGTGTGCAGTTATCTAGGCAGCATTGCTTCAGTAATTTTTCAGTGTGGGGAGGGAGAGATCAGCAGACTCTTTTCTGTAAACTGAAGATCTCTACTAAAGTGTGTGTGTGTAAACAAGTCATAAACCTCAAATAGAGTTTAAGAAGCCACCCAGGAGATTAAATAAAATCATAAAAGATTGTCCATAAAGATTCTTATGGATAATTAAGAAGTTGATAATTGAAACAATACAAAATGCTGCTTATTAGACAGACAGTCCCAAAGGCCATGTCAAAAGTTTGAAACAAGGAGACAAATCAATAAATAACTGCAATATTAAGGCCTGTCTAGTAGAAAGCAGTCTCTTGTGGCTCTCCACCCACTCACTAGGCTGCCCTTTCCTTTGAATAAATCAGCCTGTTGCAGAGCCAGCATCCACAGCCTTCCAAGATTTGTAGGGCCAAGAAGGCCACAGATACTTTCAGCTGGATAAAGCCCTTTGAATACTTAGTGTGCAACTATTTATAAAAAGAAAAATTAAATTATTTATTTTAAAATTAAATTCAGTCCCTGAACCTTTCAGAACTGTAGTCCCTGCTATATTACAGAATAGCGTGCAAGTATTTTACAACTTACAGCTTTTGGGGTTTTTTCTAGTAATACCCCGATTCCATTCTGAGTAATGTAATGTAATGCAACTCTTCATAATAAGCCAACATGGCATGTGACAATTTTCATTTAGGAAAAATAGCTTGTGGAGAGGCATTAAAGAGAACATGAAAGAACAGGATAGAAACTGGAACTTAGATGGTCCATCTATTAGATCTAACAATTCGGTGTACCAAATCTTACAGGTATTTTCAATTGGAAGACTCAGCAACAAGGACTTTAATTGAACAACATGGCCAGATAGCTAAATGATAATCAGCTTCATTCGCTGTTACATCCCAAATTGTGTCTTGGATCGCTTTGTATGAAGGATCTTAAATGAAAGCAAACAAACAAATAAAAACGTGGCAAAGTTAACATTAACAGTAGTTCATAATGTTTAAAATGATCATTAATGAGACCACAAGGGTCCCTTCCTTGTCTGTAAGACAAAAAGTGACTTTTGACATGCCAGTCAGCAACTTTTAAGGAAAGAAATAACAACACATCAGAGAATCCTATTAGTAGGCATAAGCTATTCAACACGTATTCATCTACACTGAACAGCATTAATAATGAGCAGGAAATT